GGTCCATTGGGGGCCATTCCAATGATGGGCTTTCCTGAGGAGGTGACGTTCAGTCTGAGACTTAAATTGGCTCTTTTCTGGCCTTGAGGAGGACATATGACAAAGGTCCCCAGGCAGGCCTGCTCAGTGTGGTCAAGAACCAGAAAGGCAGGTGCATCCAGGGTGTGGGTAGCTCCCGCTGAGCTCTGCCGACAGCGGGTAGCCAGAGCTGGCGTGCACTGAGCAGCGGGCACAGTGGAGGGACAAGGGAGCAGGGCAGCGGGAGGTGCAGCGGCTTGGGCTTTACCTCTCTGCCTTATTTTCTGCACCTGTATCTCTTCTTTGGAACTGTAATCCCGTTGGTTGACTTTAATAACCAATGAGAACATTTTTCAGGCTGTTTAACTTTATTAAAAGATTTGAATTTCATGCTGAACATCGGCTCAGCTTCTTCAAGCCTCTGATAGAAGGCCCGCTCAGCTATGGCTGTATTCTCAGCGCCTACTGCCATCCCTACATGTTAGCTCCCCTCCCCACTGCCATGTAGTCCAAGACTGTAAATAATCTAATTATTTCTTGTACATTGGTAAATATGCCAGGATCACTCGTAGCTGTCTGAGACCCACAGAGAATATTAACTTGGTGCTTTTTTTTTTTTTTTTTGAGAAGATGGGCTAATAAATTAGAGCAATCTTCTTGGACTGATTGAGCCCCACACAGTCTCAGGGAGGCCAAGGGCTTCCCTCTGTATGCATCATTAGCCTCATATAGGATTGTTCAAGATCTGTGATAAGAGGCACCGTGAGAGGAGGAAGGAACTGGGAACAAGTTGCTCACAGTCCTGAAAACCCTTGAGCCCATCAGGACACCAGTTAATCTCTCTGTGCAAATGAGGCCCTAGGCCTATGAGCAGGGTCCCCACCGTGATGACAGCCTGCCAGAGCAGACAAGAACTTGACATATTAGCGTCACAGTGTGGGGACTTGGGGAGGTCAGGCTTGCTGGGTCCTACCTCCAGATGCTGCTGTGTAGCCTGGTGGCCTCCCCATCCCTGCCTGTCGACAGCAGAGGCTTCTGGAAGAATATTCGGGGCTAATTACAGAGCACATCGTGCTGCAGCTATCATTAGTATTAATTAGTTTCCAAAGGCAGAAATGCGCTTTCCTCCGTGGACTGCGCCCCGCTTGGCTAGCCCTAAGCTTGCGGGTGCCATGCGTGGGCGCGGGAGACTTAGAGGCCGCAGGCTGCAGTGAAAGGCCAAGGTCTCAGCTCAGATCAAGCCCTCTTTTCGTGCTCTGTGGCCCTGGGGGACCGGATTTACCCGTGTGCTGTGTTGCCAGCTTGAGGTCTGACTTCGAGAAGCACAAGCAGGTGCCCAATGACGCCAACAGGCAGAACTCAAGAAAGCCGACTGCCCCCGGAGAGACAAGCCCTCTGCCAGAGAACTGAGACGGTCTGAAAGCCCCAAGTGGCATCTTTAATTCATGCCCTGGCTGAGTTTGTATTGCTAAATTCAAATTAATGATCTCTACACCACAACCCAGAACCTGGCCAAGCGGCAAGAAGCATCCTTGGACACCATCATAGGACATCCTCCCTGTCTCAACACCCCAGGCAGGGAAGGCTAGGAGGCTAACACCAACCACAACGACAGGATTAAAACTAGTGGTAGGGTTTCAGAAACAACAGATTTTGCAGCCACATCTAGGCCTGTGGTCTGGGACCCCTGGCTTTGCAGTCCTGTTGAGCCCTGTGGGATACAGGTTGAACTAGAGGTGGCAGGGCCGTATGTTCATCCAAGGCAGAACAGCGGAGAAGGGCTGTTCTTTCCCCGGTGGCAGTACAACAGCATCTGCAGGGCCACACAGTGCCCAGTGGGCCACCTGGAACTCAAAGACCGATATCATAGCCACCCGAAGGGGGCCAGGCCTTGAACCAGGAGTAGTATGGGGAGTGGCATGGCAGGAAGATACGGTGCCCACCCAATGGGGGGATTCTGCATTGGAAGCCTGTGCTGTGAGGGCCTGGGGGTTCCTTGGACCTGCCTCTTGCAGAGCACCAGGGGTGCCTGGAAGGAGGTGGGGCGTTTCTCAGGAGTGTCGGGACTGGACCCGTCTGTGGGCCTCTGCCCAATGAAAAGTAGGCTTTGCCCATGGGAGTCCTGTTCCATTTTGAACAGCTCATACTCTATATGTGGGAGCCTGATAACCAATGGTAGGCACCCATTGGTGGCTGTGACATCCCTCGCTGTGCCTACTGACCAGACCCCTGGGCCTCCACAGCTGCTTGCTTTGGAGGAGTTGAGTATGGCTGTAGTGACCTGGTCCATGGGGGTCACATAGGCCCGTGTAACCTCAAACATCAGTTCAGTGCCACCGTGGACCCTGGGGGATGGGATGCCTCTGGAGTAGTGGCCAGCTGCAGACATGGTGAAGGTGGGCTGGTGGCAAGCAGGATCAGAGAAATGGTGGTAGTGCCCTTCCCAGGAGCGGTTGTGGTCATCAAAGGTGAAGAGCCGAGTGAGGAACAACACAGCAGGCCTTGCCTCGCAGCCCGTGCTGACCCAGTGACCGCCCAGGTGCAGTGGCAGAGCTGGCCGGGAAGGCACAGGTGGGTGGTGCTCGTCGGAGCAGGCAATGAGACTGCAGGCCAGGCAGGGCCAAGTGTGGTGCTGCCAAGGTTGAAGCAGAGCGGTTAGGCGCCAGGCAGAGCCAGACTTGCAACTAGAATGGACTCACAGTGCAGGGCCCGAGACCCCCTTCCTGGTTGCTCAGCTCTCTTTGCCCTCCTCTCCTATTCATTAGCAGGTGGGCCTCTTGGTGTACTTGTGTTTAGAAGGAAAGGTCCCTGTAGGCTGACATTGCTTGTTCATTTCCCGGCTGCCCAGACCCTAATAATCACACCAAAACTATATTAATTACAACACTGATTGGCCAATAGCTTAGGCATATTTTTAGCTAACTCTTACATTTTAAATTAACCCATTTCTATTAATCTGCGTATCACAGTGAAGCTGTGACCTACTGATAAGGTTCTGACTGGCAGCTGGCATCTTTCTCCTTTGGCAGCTACATGGCATCTCCCTGACTCCGCCTACTTTTTCTCTAGATCTCTGTTCGAATTTCGTGCCTGACTTTACTAAGCCATTGGCCGAAACAGCTTTATTCATCAACCAATAAAGCAACACATATACATAAGGACTTCTCACATCAGGTAACCTTCCTTTTGGGCCTCTGCACATGCCCCGAGGAGGCCCAAGGCCTCTTCCTCTGGCCCTCAGTCTAATAAAGGCTTGCACTTGTAAAGCAGACTCAAGACCTGTCCCATCCCTTCCTCATAGACATTCCTCGCTCCCTCTATCCCTTCTGCATTAGATTGAACGTAGCAGAAACTTTCTAGGCAGTGGCCTTGACCTCTCCCAACCCTAGGGTCCCAGCAAACATACGCCTGTTGAATGAATGAGAGTGGGCTGAAGCGTAGATGGGTCTTAGGTCCCCAGATTTAGAAGTCCATGCCCCGTTTGCCAAAGGCAAACCACCATTGTCCCTTCACTTCTGCAGCATCCTTACTTGCTGGCTGGTGTGGGAGATCCTTCTGTCTATGTGTTTCTTTTATTGGTTAATGAATAAAGAAACTGGCTTGGCCTATAGCAAGGTAGAACTCAGTTAGGTGGGGAAAATTAAGCTGAATGCTGGGAGAAAGGAGGCAGAGTCCGAGAGAAACCACGGAGCCCTGCCTGACACAGATGCCGAAACTTTACCCAGTAAGCCACAGCCTCGTGGCAATATACAGATTACTAGAAATGGGTTAAATTAAGATATAGGAGTTAACCAATAAGAAGCTAGAGCTAATGGGCCAAGTAGTGATTTAAAGAATATAGTTTCTGTGTGAGCATTTCAGGTCTGAGCTGCTAGGCAGCCGGGAAACAAACAAATGGCCTCTCTTACAACAGCTGGGGCTAGGTTGAAGCCCTCCTGCAGCTATTCAGCTAAGGACAGTGGGACTCAGAGGCCAGGTGGCTCGCCACAGTTGTCCGTTATTGAACACAGCCCTGCAGAACTTGTCCCCAAACCTCACTGCAGTTAGCACGTCCTCTGCAAGGGGGAGGACCAAGGCTACTGTGGTGGTTTCTGTTCTGTATACGTGGTGTGTGTGTGTGTGTGTGTGTGTGTGTGTGTGTGTGTGTGTAGGGGGATGGGGGATGTGGGTGTGGAGGTGTGTTCCTGTGTGTCAGCCACATGTGAAGGCTGCAGGTTGACAAAGGGGGTCTTCCACTTACATTGCTCAGCTTTATTCTATGAGACAGTCTCCCAGTTGAACCCAAGCTTACCAATAGGACTAAGTTTCCTAGCGGGCTAGCCCTGGACCTCCCTTCCCTCTGCTTTCTGAACACTGAAATCACAGGCAGGCTGCCACACCTACCCAGCATTTAAATAACATCTGGGGATCCAAATTCCAGTCCTCGACCTTCCTCTGCAACTGCATTAAACAGTGAGCTTTTCCACAGCCCCCTCCCCCGCTGGCCTTGTTTGAGATACCTTTACGCTATGTAGCCCATGCGAACCTTGAACTTGCTTTTTAGCTTGGACAGGACTTGTGTTCCTGATTCTCCTTCTGTGTCCCTGAAGTACTGGGATTATGAGCATATATCACCCTGCCCAGCCTCCAGCATCACTGTAATAGACAAAACCAGCTGCACTGGAGTCCTGGGGTTTACAGAACCCTCCACTGCCCCAAGGTGTGCACTGTTTTGTTTTTTTTTTTTCCCCGGTTTTGGATTACTTGAAGTAATCCCAGGTTAGGCTTTGCTAAAATGATTAAGACCCAACAACAGGAAACAGACATGAAATCTACATTTCAGAGTGAAAATATTTAGTAGAGGCCAGGAAAGAATGAGGCATGGCCTCCCATCTCCCCCTCCCTTCCCTCTCCTTCCTTCCCTTCCCTCTTCTTTCCTTAAAGGGAGTTGCTGCCAGGAGTCAACACAGAACCTTCTCTGCCTATGATGGCCTTGGAATAGTCACTGTTCAGCACTGACCTGAGAGCTAGCTGACAACTCTGTTCCCGCTGTCCCTGAGGGAAACTTAGGGAGTGGGGTCCAAGCAGAAAAGATAAGGGGGAGGGATTTTTTTCTTTTGTTTGGATTGTCACACTTTCAAAGCTTTTACTATTAATATTTATTCCTGTGAGGGAGATGAACTTCTATTTCTACAACACATGATCCTATATCATGCTTCATTTCTGGATATTATTCTTATTATTTTTATTATTTTGAGAGAGAGAGAGAGAGAGAGAGAGAGAGAGAGAGAGAGAGAGAGAG